AAATTATTTTGGCGTGAATGGACGTATTTTGGGATTGTGTGTGTTAAGATTATTAAATGGAGGATTGTATTTAATATTAGATGATAATACAGGCGACTTTTTGACGTTGAGCGAAAAAGGGAATTGATACACACTCCATAGGAGCTTACACACATAAAGACGAAAGGTAAGTGAAAATCCATTTGCAACTACGATGCAAGAACCTAGTATATGTGACATAGTAATGTTGAAATATATACATAACTTTGATAAGAGGCTTATAGCACATCACATGGTGGTTACGATCATTGAGTATGAGGTTGCGTAACCTATTGACACTGATTTTTATTAAATACGTCATTTATGAGTATTTTCATATGCATGCACGACATGTAACATGGTTAAAAATCCTGCATGCAAAATATGATTTCAAAGTGAGTTTCATTATAAATATTTTATTGACCACTAGTAGGGCACCGAGGCATGTGAGGCATGCTTATATGATATGTTTGGCATTGCGGGTGTTACTTCCTGGGTGATTGCGAAGGTAGATAGGGGATGGGCCTTTGGTGATCACGGGAGGGCGGACCACTCGACTGTGCCCTTGTGATATTATGATTATTGGTGCTGCCGGGTGAGAGACTTCTTGGGTGATCATAGGGGTAGTCAGGGGATAGGCCTCTAGTGGTCACGAGAGGATGGTCCACTTGTCGGTGTCAATTTCATACTTGCCATTTGATTATTGATATTGATATTATGCAGAGCTCTATCCGGTGCATAGTAGGTGGGTCAAGGCCCAATGAAATGAAAGATTTCAAGTGAAATGATTTCTAGTTGACTTTGACGAATATTGAAATATGATACTTTTTATCGTGATATTTAAAGTAAATGGCATGGTGTCATATGTCGTTATTACTCATGTTCAGGACATGCATGATTTTGCTTACTAAGTATTGGCTTATGTAGTTCTTGCATTGTAGGTGAACATGAAACTACATAGAGAGCATGGCTAGCTGTGGAGCTCCTACAGGATTCCAGAGTTCGATGTACATGGATGACGACCTGTAGGGTTACTTTGTAGGTTGCCATCTGTAGGGTTATATTTTGGAATCCTATATAGTGTACTTTTAAAATGGTCTGTAAACATGTTTATAAGCTCTGAATATATATGTTGGATTATGGCGATATGATTTTGGGTTTCGATATATTATATGATCGTGTCACAGGTGATTAAAAGTTAACAAACTCGAAAAAAAATATATGTAAAATTCTATGTCTAGGTTGTATATAGATATCAATATTAATTTTGGGGTGTGACAGAGAGTGGTATCAGAGCAAGGTTATAATTCTGTAGACTGTCCATGTACATGATCTTGGAGTACGAAAGAGCACAACTATGCCAGTAAGTTTTATTTGTTGCATATTTCATGAATGATATTGGCCAACCTTTGTTTGCAACCATGGTGAGAACCAGAGATGCTAGTTGTAGTAGAGCTAGAACTCCAGGACAAGAGGCATCTGTTCAAGATGACAGTCAGGATGTTGTTATTGGTAGACTAACGGAACTAGTTGAGCGACAATCTCAACAAATTCAACAATTAATACTGATGCATTAAAGGTAGAAAGGTTTCTTGAGGGGTTAAGACCAGAACTATATAGAGATGTAAGTATGGCAGGAATCCAAGATGTTTCATATTCTCAAATTGCAGAGAGAGCATTAGTTGCTGAACAAGCTGAACAAAGAATTGGTCATGCTCAAGAGGCTCGACGACAGTTTAGGCAAGGTCAAGGACAGCATTGGTCTAGAAATGATAAGAAAAGAACTTTCCAAGGACAGATTCAGAAGCCTAAGTTTCAACCGAGACAAGGACAACAACATTGGGATCAGGGCAAACATTCAAGGATAGATCAAGGAAAAGCCTCAACAACACAACCATCTTGTCCCAAATGTGGTGGACAGCATACTGGAGCATGTCCTATAGAGACTAGAACATGTTATGTTTGTGGAAAGATGGGACAACTTGCTAGAGCATGCCCAAGTAATCCAAACCCTATGGAGCAAAAGAAAGTGCCAGCTAGGGTGTTTACTATTATCATATGTGATGCTGAGACAAATCCATCCTTGGTAATAGGTAAATTCTCTATTTTTGGCATCACAGCACTAGTACTATTTGATTCTGGAGCCACACATTCATTTGTGTCTACTGAGTATGTGAGGAGGTTGGGTAGGACACCTGATATACAAGAGGTTAGTTATAGTGTAACTATTCCATCTGGAGATGTACAACAAACCAATCTAATTGTAAGAGCATGTGCGATCCTCATAGAAAATCGAGAGCTCTATACAGATTTAATTGTGTTAGAAATGAAAGATTATGATATAATTTTGGGTATGGATTGTTTGTCAAAATATCAAGCTACCATAGATTGTATGAGGAAGTCAGTAACCTTTCAACCTTTGGGAAATGAGCCATTTACATTCATTGGGATCGAAAAAGATTTTAGATTTCCAACCATATCGGTATTGAAAGCACAAATGTTACTAGATAGTGGGTGTGCAGGGTATTTGGTTAGTGTTAATGCTATTGAAGCACAACACAATCCGAATCTTAGTGATGTGCCAGTGGCACAAGAATTTTCAGAGGTATTTCCTGATGATTTACCTGGGGTACCACTAGATCGTGAGATAGTGTTTGTAATTGATTTAATTCTAGGAACATCTCCAATTTCCAAGGCTCCATATAGAATGGCCCCAACTGAACTAAAAGAGTTGAAATTACAATTACAAGAGTTGTTAGATAAAGGTTTTATTAGACCTAGCTTTTCACCATGGGGTGCACCAGTATCGTTTGTTCGTAAAAAGGACGGTACTATGAGGCTGTGCATCGATTATTGAGAGTTGAATAAGGTGACAATTAAAAATAAATACCCATTACCGAGAATTGATGATTTGTTTGATCAACTTCAGGGTGCATCTGTATTTTTGAAGATTGATTTGCGATCTGGATACCATCAACTTAAAATAAAGGGAGATGACATTTCTAAGACAGCATTTAGTACGAGATATGGTCATTATGAGTTTTTGGTAATGCCATTTGGGTTAACAAATGCCCCAGCAGCTTTTATGGATCTGATGAATAGGGTATTTGGAGACTTTCTCGATAAGTTTGTAATTGTATGTATTGATGATATCCTTATTTATTCTCGTACTAAGGAAGAATATGCGAAACACTTGAGAATAGTTCTGCAGGTCTTAAAGGACAAGCAGTTATATGCTAAGTTTAAGAAATGTGAATTTTGGTTAGATAGAGTTGTATTTTTGGGACATGTAGTATCGGGTGAGGGTATATTAGTAGATCTAAGTAAAGTAGAGACTATTAATAATTGGCCACGACCTACAAATCCTTCAGAGGTCAGAAGTTTTATGGGTTTAGTTGGATATTATCGTAGATTTGTCGAAGGATTTTCCAAAATAGCTTTTTCTTTAACGAAATTAACCAGTAAGAGTACTAAGTTTGAATGCACAGATGCTTGTGAGCAAAGTTTTCAGGAATTGAAGAAAAGACTAACTTCAGCCCCTATCCTTTCTATCCCATCTGGTACTGGAATTTTGTAGTTTATAGTGATACTTCAAAGAATGGTTTGGGATCTGTATTGATGCAAAATGGTAAAGTTATTGCATATGCCTCTAGACAACTAAAAGAGTACGAAAAGAACTACCCTACACATGATTTGGAACTCGCCGCAGTTGTGTTTGCACTTAAGATATGGAGGCATTATTTGTATAGAGAGCGGTGTGAGATTTACACTGATCACAAAAGTTTGAAGTATCTATTTACACAAAAGGAATTGAATATGAGACAAAGAAGGTGGCTAGAGTTGGTAAAGGATTATGATTGTGTTATAAACTATCATCCCGATAAGGCTAATGTTGTAGCTGATGCATTGAGTAGGAAGTCGACATCCAGTTTTGTGAGTATGATTGTAACTCAAAAATTAGAATTGATAGATTTAAAAAAAATGGGTATTGAAGTTGTGTCACAAGGATCTATAGAGGCTAAACTTGCTGTGTTGACACTTCAGCCAACTTTACTGAACAAAATTCAACAAGGACAACAGGAAGATGATATTGTTACAAGATAAAGAATGATATATATGATGGAAAAGCTTCAGATTTTTCATATATCAGCAGATGATATCTTGCGGTTTAGAGGACGATTATATATACCTAATGCAAAAAATATCCGAGGTGATATTTTATCTAAAGCTCATATGACACCATATTCTGTTCATCCAGGAGCTACTAAAATGTATAGAGATTTGAAGTTGCAGTATTGGTGGCCGAACATGAAAAGTGAGATAGCTGAATATGTGGGACAATGTTTAACCTGTCAATAGATAAAAGCAAAACATCAAAAGTCAGCAGAAACATTACAACCATTACCTATCCCAGAATGGAAATGGGAAAGAATCACAATGGACTTTGTGGTGAAATTACCAAAAATGACTAAAGGATATGATAGTATTTGGGTTATTGTGGATAGGTTAACAAAATCAGCCCATTTCATTCCAGTTTGTTCCACTTATTCCATGGACCGATATGCTCAACTTTATGTACAAGAAATAGTCAGACTTCATGGAGTACCACTATTTATTATCTCAGACAGGGATTCTAAGTTTTTATCTCTCTTCTGGAGAAGCTTACATAAGGCTTTAGGAACACAATAATCTTTTAGCACAGCTTATCATCCTCAAACTGATGGGCAATCAAAAAGAACAATATAAATATTGGAAGATATGCTGAGGGCTTGTGTATTAGACTTCCAAGGCCAGTGGAGTAAATTTTTACCTTTGGTGGAATTCGTATACAACAATAGTTATCAGGCTACAATTGGAATGGCTCCTTATGAGGCATTATATGGTAGAAAATGTAGATCTCCAATTTATTAGGATGATGTTGGAGAAAGAAAACTATTAGGACCAGAGATGGTTCGTGAAATTGCTGAAGTTGTGATACAAATATGTCAACGAATGCAAACTACTCAAGACCGACAGAAAGCTATGCAGATCAAAGAAGAAGAATGTTAGAATTTACTGTGGGAGATCAAGTATTTTTGAAGATAGCACCAATGAAAGGAGTGAAGCGGTTTGGAAAGAAGGGAAAACTAAGCCCGAGATATATTGATCCATTTACTATTATTGAGAGAATCGGGAATGTTGCCTACAAACTTGACCTTCCTTCATCGATATCTCAAGTACATAATGTGTTTCATATATCCATGCTAAGAAAATATATTGGAAATCCTTCTCATGTATTGAGGAATGAACCGAATGAACCGATGGAAATAAAACCAGATTTGACTTACGAAGAAAAGCAGATAGAGATCCTTCAACTAGAGATAAAGCAACTGAGAAGTAAGAAAATTCCATTGGTTAAGATATTGTGGCGGAATCAGTCAACAGAAGAGGCCACTTGGGAAAGAGAAGATGAAATGCGGATTAAATATCCTGAACTTTTTGGTAAGCAAATTTCGAAGATGAAATTTTTATAAGGAGGGGAGGATGTCTACATTTGACCAATATGATTCATGCATTCCATGCTAATTACATTGTCATTTGTATCAATTTCCTGATTGCCTTCTCTTAAAACGATGCATTTGATCATCAAGACTTTAAAATCTTTACATGATGATAACCTTCGACTCTTCGATCTAGGTGGTGAATTTTATATTGAACTATGATAGAAAGTTAGATTAACTAAATGTTAGAGATTGGCTTGGTAAGTAATGTAATATTTGAAAGGCCAAAAATTTGTATCAACGAAGGTTCAAGCTTTCCATTCGGTTGATCGAGACCACCTTAAACCCTAGATAGGTAATTGACATATTTGGGACATGATACATAAAGGAGCATGATCATGATGCGATAATATGTGTCTCATATGACATTATAAATATCGAGGTGCGATTTGATGAAATTGGTCGAGAATGGGGTGTCAATCGGGTAAGTAATTAAATGAACGATTGAGGAATTAGCTCTATAAAATATTTTGGGATCTTAGGGCAAGTGAAATGGATTGTAAAGACATTAACATAAGCCCAGGATACTTGATTTATACCTGCAAAGATAGATATAAAATCAGATTTTTTTTTACTAGTGACCACCTCATGCTTAAACACCTCATGCTTTTAATATTTATCATTTTAACACCCAACCTTAAGGCATCAATCTCGTGTCCTACTTCTTAAGCACTTATTATAGGATGAATATATATCTTATAATCATAAATTGGTCCAAATATAATGGTTGAAAATCAAGTATGGCTACAATGAAGACACGTCGTGCTTGGCACCTCAAGCTTGGAATAGTTGTCATTTTAACACTCAATCCCTTCATCCTTAAGATATTTAGCACGTCTCCTACCTCTTTTTTTATTTCTAGGCCAACGCTGTCCTTGACCTTGCCTAAACTGTCGTCGAGCCTCTTGAGCACGACTAATTCTTTGTTTAGCTTGTTCAACAACTAATGCTCTCTCTACAATTTGAGAATATGAAACATCTAGGATTCCTGCCATGCTTACATCTCTATATAGTTCTGGTCTTAACCCCTCAAGAAACTTTTCTGCTTTTAATGCATCAGTATTAATCATGTGGGTTGCAAACCTAGATAGTTGTTCAAACTTACGAATATACTCCCCCACTGTCATCCCTCCTTGTCTTAGTTGTATAAATTCATTCATCTTCATGGCTCGAATAGGAGCTGTAAAATATTTATTACGAAATAACTCTTTAAATCTCTCCCAAGTCATGGCATTTACATCTTCCATGCTACTCATCGTATCCCACCAATGTCCAGCATTACCTCGTAGCATAAAGGATGCACAAACCACTTTTTCTACTTCTGAGACTCTCGTTTACCTGAACATATTCTCTAAAGTTCTCAACCAATCCTCTGCTGCAGTTGGATCTAATGCATCCTCAAATATTGGAGGGTTTGGTTTTCTAAATCTTTCCCCAACCGCCTCAATATGTTCAGCCCTTTGTTGTGGTTGTATAAATTCAGCCCTTTGATGTTCTCCTCTTTCTCTTTGTAATATTAATTGCTGAATTTGTTGAGATTGGCGTTCAACTAATTCTGTAAGCCTATCAATAACAACATCTTGATTGTCATCTTGAACAGATGCCTCTTGCACTAGAGTTCTAGCTCTATTACTAGCAGTATCTCTGGTTCTCACCATGGTTACAAATAAAGGTTGGCCAATATCGTTCATGAAATATGCAAAAAAATAATGCAACAAATAAAACTTACTGGCATAGCTGTGCTCTTTCATATTCCGAGATCATGTACATGGACAGTCTACAGAATTATAACCTCGCTCCTCTCTGTCACACCCCAAAATTAATATTGATATCTATACACAACCTAGACATAGAATTTTACATATATTTTTTTTTCGAGTTTGTTAACTTCTAATCACCTGTGACCCGATCATATAATATATCGAAATCTAAAACCATATCGCCATAATCCAACATATATATTCAGAGCTTATAAACATGTCTACAGACTATTTCAAAAGTACACTATATAGGATTCCAAAATATAACCCTACAGATGGCAGCCTACAAAATAACCCTACAGGTCGTCATCCATGTACATCGAACTCTGGAATCCTATAGGAGCTCCACAACTAGCCATGCTATCTATGTAGTTCCATGTTCACCTACAATGCAAGAACTACATAAGCCAATGCTTAGTAAGCAAAATCACGCATGTCCTGAACATGAGTAATAACGACATATGACACCATGCCATTTATTTTAAATATCACGATAAAAAGTATTATATTTCAATATTCGTCAAAGTCAACTAGAAATCATTTCACTTGAAATCTTTCATTTTATTGGGCCCTTGACCAACCTACTATGCACCGGATAGAGCTCTGCATAATATCAATATCAATAATCAAATGGAAAGTATGAAATCGACACCGACAAGTGGACCATCCTCTCGTGACCACTAGAGGCCTATCCTCTGACTACCCCTATGATCACCCAAGAAGTCTTCCACCCGGTAGCGCCAATAATCATAATATCACAACGGCACAGTCGAGTGGTCCGCCCTCCCGTGATCACCAAAGGCCCATTCCCTATCTACCTTTGCAATCACCCAGGAAATAACACTCGTAATGCCAAACATATCACATAAGCATGCCTCACATGCCTTGGTGCCCTAGTAGTGGTCAATAAAACATTTATAATGAAACTCACTTTGAAATCATATTTTGCATGCAGGATTTTCAACCATGTTACATGTCGTGCATGCATATGAAAATACTCATAAATGACGTATTTAATAAAAATCGATGTCAATAGGTTACGCAACCTCATACTCAATGATCGTAACCACCATATGATGTGCTATAAGCCTCTTATCAAAGTTATGTAGATATTTCAACATTACAATGTCACATATACTAGGTTCTTGCATCGTAGTTGCAAATGGATTTTCACTTACCTTTCGCCTTTATGTGTGTAAGCTCCTATGGAGTGTGTATCAATTCCTTTTTTCGCTCAACGTCGAAAAGTCGCCTGTATTATTATCTAATATTAAATACAATCCTCCATTTAATAATCTTAAGACACACAATCCCAAAATACGTCCATTCACGCCAAAACAATTTAGACAAAATCATTATTTCAAGTTACCGATGGCATTATAAACTAATCCCATAAGTCTCGCTATCTCTCGAGTCCAATTATGAACGTCAACGTCATCCAATTATTTTCGACAACCTAGTATTCCTTAGGATATATTTTCTAGGCCCAAGAGTTCATTAGGGGACATCTAAATGTTGAAATCACATTAAATACCCAAATGGACAGAATCTGTTTTCTAGGTTTCCATCACCGTCCACTCATTTTTCAAATTCTTTTTCATGTCCTTACCTACATTTAACGGCTCCCAAACTTTTACCACAAACCTATAACATATATGTGAAGATAATCAGATCATAACTTTGTGAAAAATGAAGTGTTTGGAGCTTCAAAAATAGTCCATTTTCCACTACACAAAATCAGGCAATTTTTCCCTTTGACTGTTTTCGGTTTCCATTTTATTATTATGATACCAACAGAATTGTAGGCCATTAAAATCATTTCTACACTCCCTAATTACATATAAAAACGTTCATATTGATATATATAAGTTAAACACTAAGTATCATCCCAAAATCAAGGTATAAATCACTCAATCCAGCAATTCCTCATCTCTGTCCGGATTACTTTCTTTCAAATTCTTGCAATTAATTACCCCTATTTAGGCATCATAACATCATTAACAACACTGCAACTTAATCATAAACAAGTTCAGATGTTCAAGAAATCATAAGCCCCTTAAGAAATAATAGAAACAAACCTCAAAACTGTGGAGTAACAAAGCTGTTCAGAAATTCCAACTTCTTGTTTCTACTTCTCTTTAACTGTTTCACCCTCTTTTCACTTGGAATCACTTAGGGACGAGTCAAGGGAGTTAATATATTATCTAGGAGGTAAATGAGTGGTCTTTAAATGGTTGAAGTCGTGCATATTACTTAAGGATTAAGAATATCATGGGCTGCAGCCACCTCAAGCAATCAAGGTGAGTCACTAAGCAGGAGCTGTCATCTTGGCTGCAATACTTGACTTTTCTACCATTATTTTTGTGTCCATTTATGATATTTAAGATATATATTCATACTATATTAAGTCCTTGGGGATTAGACAGGAAATTTATGCCTTCAGGTTGAAGCAATTATATATTAAAGTAAAAAGTCCCCTAGCATGAGCTGTCCAAGTAGGAGGTGGCTTATTGCAGCCAACTTTGACTTCTCCCTTGCACCACATGGAGCTATATGTGACTTAGAAGAGTTATAAATATCTTGTGTAAAGTTCTAAGGACTTATAGGACGTGTTGGAGGCTTAAGGTTGAAGGGATTAGATGTTAAAGTGGCAAGTCATCACATGTTAAGTAGGAGTTGTCTCCTTTGATTAAATTCTAATTTTACATCTATCCTTGCAGGTATAAATCAAGTGTCATCGGTTTATTTTAATGTGTTTACAATCTATTTCACTTGCATTAAGATCCCAAAGTATTTTATAGATCTAATTCCTCAACTGTTCATTTAATTTCTTACCCGATTCTCAACTGATTTCAACAATTCGCACCTCAATATTTATAATGTCATATAAGACATATATTATTACGTTGTGATAATGTCACTTCATCCCTCATGTCCCAAATATGTGAATTACCTATCTAGGGTTTAAGGTGGTCTCGATCAACCGAATGGAAGCTTGAACCTTCGTTGATACAAATTTTCGGCCTTTCAAATATTACATTACTTACCAAGCCAATCTCCAACATTTAGTTAATCTAACTTTCTATCATAGCTCAATATAAAATTCACTACCTAGATTGAAGAGTCGAAGGTTATCACCATGTAAAGATTTTAAAGCCTTGATGATCAAATGCATCGTTTTAAGAGAAGGCAATCAGGAAATTGATACAAATGACAATGTAATTAGCATTGAATGCATGAATCATATTGGCCAAATGTAGAACGTGAAGTTCGGGGTATTATAGGTAAAATTGGAAATAACATGCTAAAAATGATTAACGGTGCTCTTGTCACATGTAAAGGTAATAAAAGAAATAGTATTTATGTTACTATTGTTGAAATTATTAAAAATTCATCTTCCTCTTTAAATTTGACCAACAAAGATTACACACACAAGTGGCACAATAGATTAGCTCACATAAGTATTAAATGACTTAAACTGCTAAATGATAACGATGTATTTGGAAAGGACCGTGTGTCTAATATGCCTTTTGTGATCACTATATCCTTGGTAAACTTCATAAGTCATCTTTTTCATCTGGCATGCACAAAACTACTAAAGTTTTAGAATATATTCATACTAATTTATGGGGGCCTGCTACTAATCCTATAATGGGTGGTAATATATATTTTTTGTCCATAATTGATGATTATTCTCGTAGAGTGTGAGTTTATCTGTTAAAGGATAAAATTGAAACTTTTAAAATTTTCAAAATATGGAAATTGGAAGTTGAAATTCAAACTGGCAAAAAGATAAAATATCTAAAAACTGATAATAGCCTAGAATTTTGTAATAAAGATTTTGATGAAAAATGTGAAATTACTAGATATAAAACTGTTCCTTATACACCTCAACAGAATGGGGTGGCTAAACGTATGAATCGTACTTTATTTGACAAAGTTACATGTATGATGTTGAGTTCTAATATTCCTAAATCTTTTTGGGATAAAGTTGTTATGACTATGTGTTATCTGATTAATTTGACACCTTCTATTGCATTAAATGGTGATACTCCACATGAAAAATGGTATAGTAAATGTGTTGACTATACTATGTTAAAAATTTTTGGTTGTGTTGTTTTCTCTCATCAAAATGAGAGAAAACTAGAACCTAGAGTTACAAAATGTGTTTTCTTAGGATACCTTGAATGAGTTAAAGGGGTATAGGCTTTGGGGGTAGAAGTCAAACTGGAGTTAAGATCATCATAAGTCGTGATGTTACATTTAATGAGTCTGAACTATCGTGTCTAAAACAGAAAGTGACACCTTGAGAGAAAAACAACAAGAAAACACTAGTGATGAATTTCAAATGGATTTAAGGCCTTTAAGTGTTCAAACCCCCACCACCTCAATTGAGTTGGAGCATCAAAATCCTGAATTAGAAGATAATCAGATTGAAAATATTGAGAGAGGGGAGGTTATAGAGGAACATCAAGGAGAGCAAAACCCTTTGTTTGATTACCAGTTAGCTAGAGAGAGAGTTAGAAGAACATATAGGGTGCCTCAAAGGTTAGAGTCTGATTTTGAACTTGCTTATGCTAGTTATGAAGAACTAGTTGATTGGGAACCAAATACGTACGAAGAAACTTTGAGGAGTGAACAATCTAAGGATTGGGTGAATGCAATGAAAGAAGAGATAAATTTCCTTAATAAGAATCAAACATGAGAATTAGTCCCAAGACCTAACGAGAAGTCTATTATTGGGTGTAAATGAATTTTTAGAATGAATTACCAAATGAAAGGCTATAAGGTTTAAGGCTATACTTGTGGCCAAAAATTACACGCAAAAGGAAGGAGTAGATTATAATTAAATCTTTTCCACAGTTGTTAAGTATACCACAATTAGGACTATGTTTGCATTAGTTGTGCATTTTAATTGGGAACTTGAACAATTTGATGTTAAAACTGCTTTTCTGCATGGAGAACTTGATGAAAAGATTTTTATGGACCAACTTAAGGGTTTTGAAAATAAACAAAAACCTGATCATATGTGTTTTCTTAAGCGCTCTTTGTATGGTCTAAAACAATCTCCTAAATAATGGTACAAACGTTTTGATTCGTTTATTAAATAGTTGATTTTAAAAGGAGTGAATTTGATCATTACTTAAACAATCAAGGTAATGCACATAATAATAACTATGTGCTTTTGTTGCTATATGTGGACGATATGCTTTTGATTGGTCTCAACTTGAAGTTGCTAAATGATATAAAAACTATTTTGAGTAATGAATTTGATATGAAAGACGTAGGTAATGGCAAAAGAATCTTAGGCATGAAAATTCAAAGAAATAGGTCTAATTCAATTTTATTTTTGCATCAAGCTCCACATATCATGAAAACTTCGAAAAAATTTGGCATGAATGAATGCAAACCTGTTACATTGCCTTTAGCTAATCATTTTGCATTATCTAAAGAACAATCACCTACTAATGAATAGGAAGAGGAATATATGAAAATGATTCCATATACAAATGTCATTGGGTCTGTGATGTTTCTAATAGTGTGTACTAGATTTGACTTAGCCTTTGTTGTTAGTATACTTAGCAGGTATATATCCAACCCTGGTCCCAAACATTGTGAAGCTTTAAAATGGCTGTTTAGATATTTGAAAGGAACATGCAATACTGACTTGATATATAAGTTTAATACTGAAGGAGTAAAATTAAAAGGTTTTACTGATACTAATTAAGTTGGTGACAGAGATAATAGGAAATTACGTCATCCAACATGTTTACTTTGTGTAATTCATGTGTTAGTTGGAAATCACAACAACAACATGTTGTTGCATTATCCACCATTAAATCGGAATATATTGCTTCTACTGAAGCCTTCAAAGAATCTTTGTGGTTTAAATGTGTATTAAATGAACTTGGTGTTTTTTATGGCAATGTTACAATATATTCTGATAGTCAATCTGCTATTCACCTATGCAAAAATCCTGTCTCTTATGAAAGTACTAAATATATAGATGTTACACTGCATTTCATTAGAGATATGGTTTCTTAAGATCTGGTAAAACTTGAGAAAGTCCTTTCAGAGTATAATTCTGCAGACATGGGAACTAAGGTGCTTCCATTGGTAAAGTTTAGAAGCTGCCTTGATCTTCTAAACATCGGTACAAATTTGTAAGTCTCTTTTCCTAAGCTATTTGTTATCTTATCTAACTTGCAGGTTGATTTGGAATTAAGGTGGAGGTTGTTGGGCATTTTAGTAAGTGACGCCTAAATCTCTTAGATAATGATGAAAAATCATGGCTCGTTTAACTTCATAAGCTATAATCGTAGGATTGAAGAATTATAAATCCATGCCACAATTGATGTAACCCAATTGTGTTGGGTATTTAGAGGAAATTAGCTCAGTGGGCTGGGTGCTCAATACCCAACTATGGAAATAATTCTAAATCACCTGAGATTTAGATGATTGCAATGGTTATACTATCCTTATCTTTGATAATCATTTTCAGTTTTCTTCAACTCTATCCTGTCGGTTCTTTCTAGGAAATTTATTTTCCTTTGCATATAAATTGGACTCTTAGCTTCACTTTTTTCACACAACCAAAATCGGTCTCTGCTTTGTGCATATAGTAGAAAAACCAGTCTTTGCTTTTGTGTGCCTATGTCTCTGTTATTGAAAAATCTCTAATTGGTGTTGCCTTTGTGGTTGTGAAAAAATTGGTGCTTCTCAAAACACTCTAAAAAGAGTGCTACTTTTGTCAATTAAGATTTCAGCTTATTTGGAAAAACTCTGCCTAATTGGCACTTGACTATTGGATACATGATACTCACTTGGATTGTGCTAGTTGAGACCGATTTTGGACCATTGGATCAAACCGTCGGCTGAGATCATCCCTTCGGGATGTGACCTTCCAACTTAAACAAAAGTCTCGTGACTTTTGGGGTTAATTCCAGATTCTTCTCTCTCTCTCTCTCTCTTCTCTAGCGTCTCTTTCTGGTTTTTCGAGTTCTTCCTTTCTGAAGCTGTAAAATCATTCTCTTAATGTATAGTTTCTGCGATCTGGTTATGGATTTTATGTTTTGGGTTAATGATCAGGCCTGAAAGAGTGGCTGATCTTGTACTGTAAAACTCCTATACGTTTGGTTGATTTCGTGCGTGTGTGTTTCACGAGATCTTTAGAT